TGATAACTCAAAAACCAAAACAATGGTGTCAATCAATTTCACTGAGGTGACATAGTTTCAAACAGAGTATCCACATTTATAAGTATTATTCATAACTAGTACCAATTAAAAAATCATTACCCCTTGAAGTTAGCTTTCTTACATAAATTTGGTGTTGCTTTAAAAAGCTAAGTAAAGTGTGAAACAGGAATTACTAGCCAATAATGGATAAACAATAAATATTACAGTTGGAACCTTATTGTGTTTAGAACTTAGTTATAAATACAACCTTCCTATGTCTATTGAAACACTACATTAAAAACAAGTAAAGAAAAATATTTCAAAAAAGGAAGTAAATGTGGGGATGGCTAATATCAATCTTTCAAAAACAATGAAAAGATTTTTCATTACTTGCATTTTATAAAACTCTAAAGGCTATATCCATAGACTTTCACACTGTAAGTTACTATTTTATAAGTTTAATAAAATTCAAAGCTTTGCTATGTTCACTAAATGATATAACTTGTTTTGCAATACAATAGCGTCAATAGGCTAAAAGTAAAACTCATGAAAGTTACTGATTAAGGTAAGTTTGTTCGTATTACGTATTTTAACTATTTATTAAACATATCAAAATTATGTTTCGTTGTTATATCCAATAGCAAATACTAAACTATTATTCAGACTTCCCATCGAGTGGAAACATGCTTGCATGACCGTAGTTTGTAATATAACACACAATCCTCTATAACTAAAAGCTACAAAATAGAAAACAAAACACTTAAAAGTTAAAAAACGTAGCAGACGACACTCTTGAAATCTCACACATTTCTCGATCGGAGCTGCTATTTTGATAACCCTGCGCCCCCTTCCAAAAGCCTTAACTTCCTTGAATAAATAAATTTAAAAAATGGAAAACGAATAATGAGTGATACAAAATTTAAAAAACTTTAAACTCTAAACTTATCTAGTCAAAGAAACTGCTACTTTTAATGCCATTAGTACATGAACTATATATACTAAAATATATATCTTATTATAATTCCAAAAAAATTATAAAGTTAAGGTTGGATTTTTTGCAGTTCTTTTTTCTGCCAATTCGAAACCACATTTTGTATGTTCTGATGTGTCAACTACACTAAAGCAGAAGGAACGTTTAGCTGCTGCCTTTAAAGACACAATTACCTTACCTCCATTAAATTCTTGTGTATCGATTATATACCTGACAAGTGTTGCAATTTCGCCAATTAATATATCATGAAGTAAATATGTCGATTACATATTCCAGTATATTTTTTTAGAAAAAAGGTAAATCGTCAAACAACTTTCATTTTATGATGATGTTGTTATGAGTAACATTCAACCTTAATCAGATTTTAAATAAAATTTTGTATTTAAATCTGTAAAAGAGAAGTTACTTGAAAGTTGAGATGAACCTAAGAATCAGTTTTAGGCTATTTATTATTAAGCCTATGTCTACGTAGTTTAGGCTCGTCAAATGCGAATCGAAAATATTGGAATATAACTACGACAAGAAAAAATCATGGCTATAACTATAAGTTAACCGAAGCGAATATTTTATTTTTAGTAACAAAGTATAACGATAACCTAGTTTTAACTTGTAAGTTGTACTGTTGTAGTTGTACTATACTGTAATTTTAAATTATAATATTAATAGCGGTTTAAAGTTTAAATTATTTTAAATAAGGAAATGATTGAAAAAAAATGAAAAATACTATTAGTATATTATAATAATTATATATATTATGTATTTATTTATTTACTAAGCTAAATGCATGTAATTTTGTAACACTTAGCAGTACAATTTAAACTTATATGTTACTGTTAATAGTGTTAACATTTGATATATTGAACAGCCATCAGAGTTCAGTATGTGCAGCTTTGCACATTTCTTACTCACTACTACTACTAATACTAGTGTGAGTACCACTTGTAAGTTCTAGCACTAGTTGAATGAGTTTAATGTTAATCTTTTGTGCAATAAAAACTTAGTTTTGTTTTATTTTAATATATAATGACATTTTTTATTGTTATTACTACTTTTTAATATTAGTTTCACTTTTGAAGCTGAATTATGCTGTATCATATGTTATTATTAATTTCAACTCGGCTTATACAGGGCATTCTTATCGTAACCGCTAAAGAGTGAAAACATTAAATCTTTTGTTTGATGTTGTGCCATAAGATTTTGCTGGACTTGCAAGAATATTGTTGAATTCCATGTTTCAATAAATTCCTAAGCATTTTTCAAAACACGAACATATAGGTATGACTTAAGTGCTGATTAAATGGCACAACAATGTTTTAAAATCCTTTTTATTTTGAAGTTAAATAACACACCTAATACTTGGAAATTACCATGAAGCCACTCTTAATGTTTCCAATAAACCAGTTCATATAATCCACTTCATGGAAAAGGTTTGATATGTTTTTTTATGTTTGATATTTCTGTACCAAACATCTCTCAAATATAAAGAATGTGTTAGGAGCAATGTGCAGTTATTCCTTGATGTTGACATATTTTTTGTGTAATTCTGTTGGTAAACTCATTGGCAATGATTTTTGCAAAATATCATTACTCACGATTAAATCCTCTTATCAGATTTATGACCCTTTTATAACTAAGAGTGGCATTCTCATTATTCAACTTTTCTTAGCACTGTAGTTTTGTCGGTGAACCTTGTTGTAATTTTGTAAAGTAAACTATTTAAGTGGTTAACTTGATTAACAACAAAAGTTCTAAAGCAGATCTGTGAGAGACCTAACTAGTCACATTCTTCCAGTTGGAAATATATTCCCTTTTCTAACCACATACTGCTTTTTGCTACTAAACCAATTTGTGTAATCTTTCAACATTCTTCACCAATTCAATAAGCTTGCAACTTAATGATTAATCTCATGAAGCACCTTCAAAGTAAACGTGAAGATACACAACATCAGAGTGCTTTCATCTAAGAACGTTGAAGCTCTATCAGAAAACTCCAATATTCAGTAAGTTAGGAAATAAAAAAAAATGTTTTTAAGACCAAGCTAAGAATCAGTAATTAAATACCATATTTCCAAATTCTTTTATACAATTCTTTGACATTAAACTCCAGTACTTTGCTGCTAACAATAGAAGTTATACTAAGTCTGAAGTTTCATGTATCCTCACTTAAATCCTTTAAAAAAATAATAAAAAAGGGATCACATTAGGAACCTCTCGGTCATCCTGAATCTATCCAGTGTCAAGAGAATTTTGTGAAATAAAAGTTACAGACTGCTTTAACCCTTTTCTGAGCTTCATCAAGGAGAAAATTGTCAGAGCAGTAGCTTTACTTCAAGCTTCCCAACCTTTTCTAAATCAGAATCTTTTATTCAATATTTGTGTAAGTTGAATTTAAAAAAAAAAATCCCTTGTACTAAGAAATTGGTCAGTCTAGGAATACCATTTTTTCAACCATGTTTCTACCTTAATAAGTTTTAAAGTATTTTGAAAGAAGTGTTATCCATTACCTTTTGTGCAGTTAAGGTGAGCATTAAAAAACAAACCTGAAGTCAGATACTTCCGTAATACCCATTAGCTATAAAATAAAATTTACTTTTTCTTTTTTGTTTAATTAACTCTTGACAGTGTCCATTTTTCTACTAAATTTAAATAATTTTATATAAGTAATATTTTCAGTTAACTAGTAAATTAATTACACATTCATCTATTTAGGAAAATGCTTATGGTTAAAAAGCAAAATTCAGAAAGGAATACATTCCTTTCAGCTCACTTGCTAGAACTAGTAAATATTTCTTAAAGCACAAAAACATTTCTTTTCATTTTGCTTAACCACTCAGTGCTCTCTCTCTCAGATAAAAGTTTACAGTTTCTTGAAGTTGGGTTTACAGTAGTGTAGATCTCTCATTGGCAGGTTCTTTTAAATTATCCAGTCCACTTAGTAATGATAAATTATTTCCAAATTCCACTTCTAACATTTTTACAAGGTTTAACATTTGTACACTGCCATAGGCCTACACTACAAATGATGTTAACTAATGTAAAATAAATGAACTTACTTGTACAAAGTAATGACAATAGCTAACACTGAAAACATTGGAAAAGGAGGGGGGGGGGAGGTATAGACCCCTTGGATCCATTTCCTGAATCTGCTACTGATTAATCCTAGAATAATGATGAAGTAAAAGAGCAGATAATATTTATGGACCCTGAACTTAATTTTTAAAAGTGTTAAGATGATAGATTATTAATTTTCCAATATTGCACATATTTCATAGGGACAGGAATAGACAATCCCCAGGTAATTATTGACTAGTTAATTTTACACCAGTGGTTGAGAAGTTGCAAGAGCTGATAAATAAATTCTACAAGAGTGTTTAAACAAGTTTTGTATTACTGTGCATAGTCAGCATGGATTTTGAAAGGGAAGGTCGTGTTGTACAAATTTGTTAGGTTTCTTCAAAAATGGACATTGATAATGCATAGGATTTAGCATGCTTAGAATTTTAGAAAGATTTTGATAATGTGCACATAACAGAATTATTGAATACAAGTCTAAAAAGGCTATAATGTAGGTCATTAGTCCACATTTGGAGTAATATAATCAGTCTTGGACTCCATACCTTAGAAAAGACATTGAATTGATGGACAGTGCTCAGAGGAAGGACACCAAGATGATTCCTATGATGGAAAGATTGACATACGAGGATAGGTTAAAATTTCTGAAAAAAAAGAAGAGTTAGAAGGGATCTTATTGAGGTGTATAAGATTGTAAAGGGAATTGATAGTGTTAAAGTCTTACCTTTTTTTGTATTTAATGATTGAAAAGGTAAGACTAGGGGATACAAATATACTTTTTGGTAGGGTAGGAGTCATCTTCAGCTAAGATAGTTTTATTTTTCTAACAGGGTAGTTGGAATTTGGAATGAGCTGCCTTTAGATGTGGTGGAAACCAAACACTTAAGGAAGTATAAGGGAGCCTTGATAGATATTTGAATATAATGAGTTTTTATAGTTAATGAGTGTAATAGCCTAGATGGACTAACAGGTTATGTATATTATGTATCTAAAAATATACTTGGCACTGGAAGAATTGTTTGTCTGTAAACATGACAGTGGAAGAGTTAAGAGTAAATGTTCCTTTGTAGATCTCTTCATTTTGTATTTCTTTGGTAATGTGCCTTAGTTTTTTTATTCAAGAAGATATCCGAGTTGATCTTGTTTTTCTGAAAAGAAAAGTTCTCTAATGTTCTGTTGTTCATCTCCACAGAATTTGAACAGGACAGAAAATGAGGTTCAAGACTTATCTTCAGAAAGATCCTAAACATATCTTTTTCTTTGTTTAAAAGTTTAAATGTTTTTATTATAATAAAATGAAAACTATATTTAAGAACATTGTTACAGAATCATTTTAATAAGTTTTTGAAATTTCGTGATTATTCTTTCAAATAATTACCATTACTTTTATTAGCTTAATGTGTAAGAATGTGTTAAAACAGTTACGTGTATATGTTTTCAGAAACTGTATTATGTTTTGGGATATTTTTTTATTATTAAAATGTTGATATCTTTAGCTGATTGCTATTTGTAGAATATTTGAATAAATTATTACAAAATTTTGAATGGATGAGTAAATGAATTGAAGCAGAGTTCATTAGCTATTTAACATTACAACTATTGTTAAGAACCAGAAGGTATTTCAGGCTTTAAATCATCAAAGGGTTAAAAACTGCTGAAACAGTGTTTAAAGGAAAGCCATAGAATATTTCATTGTGTTTAACAGGTGATAAAAACACAACAGTAACATAGCATAATAAATACACTGAGATCATGTATTGCGTGATTTCAGATAATTAAAATCACAGACATTTGATTTATTGGTAGTTTTAGTTGTTTAATTATGTCTTCCGAAGACCATAGTTTCTTGTAACATTTTATCCAATAAACAGTTTATAATGCATTGTACAGAATTGTTACCTGTAGGCTGTAATGCATAATTTGTCGTTACTTGCCTTGTGTAATTCTCAAATATGTTCAATTTAGAAAGGGCTAAAGTTTGCTTTTTTTCTTCAAAAAAACACATGTAAAGATATAAACAATTTTAAGGGGGTTTTCTAAACTTCTATCTGTATCAAAAACTTCTTCCTTTAAAGTTTGTATTTTTTATACTTTTAAAGTTGTGAACTATTTTTAAGTTTTTCACACTGATAATGGAATTAGAAAAAAAAACATTTGAAAAGTTGTGTAATTACAGATTTTTTCATATTACAGTGATTTTGATATTTCTTATAATACCTCAATTTTCAGTTTATAATTCATTTTAATTACTGCAAAGAAGCCATCTAGCTTCATCACAAATTTTCATGCCAAACAGTAAATGTTGTACTGTCTTTGTTCTTTTAGGATCAAGGCTGATTTATTTTTGCTGAGTGATATGTCATCTATCACACATTGTGACAAGAATCTTTACTGGTTTTATTACATGAAATCTATGGACAATTATTTTGAACAAAAAGTTAGTTTATTTAGTTTTAGTAGAGTAGTCTTGTGAAAATTTGTAAGAGGGAGAGTAGAAACTATGAAATGGTATTAATCATATTTCAAGCCTGGTACAGGTTTCAAATTACATTGCATATATGATGTACAATATGTTATATTTACAAAAGTAACTTAATCATAAATTTCCATAGCTGTTTATGTCTAACATATTAAAGAAAGGATATTTTGAAAAATTCTTTAAAAAACAAGGTGAAAACAAAGATAAATCTCGTGTGAGAATAATGTATTAGTTTAATGGAATTGATTAATGAGCCCAACAAATAATTGATTAGCAAATTTCATTAATTGCCCAGCTTCAGAAGATTTTAAAGATATAGTCGACAAATTCCAATACGTTACTTACTTCCTTTCACAAGATTAGCTATTCTTGTTCAGTGCTGTCCTCTATATGCAAACTTTTTCTTTATGCATGCCACAAGCCTTCTGTTTTCCCATATTGGAATTGCAAGATTCCAACATGTCTTATGCAAATTATCATGCATCACCTCCTCACCAATAGGAGCATGATATGCTCACATGACACATGTGACTCCCTCTACGCTCCTCTACCAAACTATCACTTCTTGTTTGGCAGTACTTGTGTTCAGATGTGCTCTTTTGTTCATTTAATCTTCATGTTCGACTTTGTTTCCTCATGAAGTGGTTGTTTTTTAAATTAATTTGCTTTCATTCTGCCTATTTCTTCCATTAGAACATATTAATTAATTCTTGTCTCCTTATTTTCTGCACTCAAATTTGGTGAATTTTTCTGTGCAATAAATCCTGAAGTCATAGTCTGTTTTTCTTAGTCATAGCCTCATATGCCTCCAATTACTGTTTCCTGTCCTTCCCCATCCTTTCTACTAAGGGTACTTCTTGCTTTCCTTGATGATGCACCCCCCCCCCCATTGCTACCAATACTCGGCTGTTCGAGTTTCTTCGTGGCTGGCGGGCGTCCTTCATCAGCGATCAATGGGTGCTTCAGGTTCTGTCAGAAGGATTCATTGTCCAGTTTCTTTCCCCACCTTCTGTCTTTCCTTACCCCATTTCCTTTGAACCTGCTTCCCATTCTTCCCAGGGTTTTATTCCCACCTTTTCATTGTCCCCAAGAAAACCGGGGATTGGCGGCCAGTAACCAATTTATCTCACTTCGACCACTTTGTTTCACTAACCAGGCTTACCATGGAGTCTTTTCTCACCCAAGATTGGTGTTTTCTCTGGGTTTGTGGATGACCAAAATGGATTTCTTCAGTGCTTACCTACATATACCGACATCACCTCAGTTTCAACCTTATCTTCGCTTTGTCCATCTCGGGGTGGTTTATCCCCTTCATACTTGCCTCGGCATCTTACATATTTTGCTCGACATCTCTATACTCTAGGGCTGCAATTTCATTATTACATGGATGACTGGCTTCTTCTGGCTCATTCCAAACAGGAATCAGTCAAACATACTTGGCAGCTCCTTTCTGTGGCAGCTCAGGTGGACTGGTTGATCAAACTGGAGAAGTCCTTCCTCAGACCCACTCAATATCTTGTCCATTTGGGAGTTTTATCAACACTTATATCAGTCAGGCCCAGCCTTCTTCTTTACAACGTTGTTCAATGGAACTGTTGGTTTGCCACGCTCTATCAGCTCAGTCACTAACTGCTCATGAGGTTTTATTGCTTTTGGGGATGTGGTCAACAAGGGCATCACTGAACCCTCTTGGTTGTGCCCATATGAGATCCCTTCAGTGGGCACTTCACAATTGATGGAACCTCGCTTGGGATCCTCTTTCAACCCCTTCCTTCTTCCGTGCTTTGATGGTTGGACAAAACCCATACATCAGCAAGCATGCTGCTTCCTCCTCCGCATTCAGATCTACATCTTTTCATGGGCACATCCCTTCAGGGATGGGAAGCATGGGTTAGTCACGAAAGCGCTTTGCATATCAATGTCCTCAAACTTTTAGTCATATGTCAGTCGTTAGCATCACTTCCTTCTTCTTGCCCGATATTGTCTGGTGATGGTTCATTCAGACAATTCTATGTTGGTGGCACATATCAACAACCAAGGGGTACCCGGTCCAGAGATCTCTGTTTTCAGGTGTTAGATCTCTTATACTGGGCCCATGCACATCACATTATTTTAATTATCATGTGCTGAATGCTTTCAACCTGGTCATGGATTGTTTTTTGCTCCCTAACCAGATATGTTCCACAGAGTGGTCATTAGATCCCCTTGTTTTCAGGGATCTTTGCTATTGGTGGGTTTTCACCATGTGGATGCCTTTGCTACAGGCCTCAACAACACGTTACCTCTCTTTTGGTTACCTGTACCTCATCCCCAGGCTCTGGCAGTCGATACCTTGAGCCAGTATTGGTCACACAAGTATCTATATATACCGACCCATCTGATTACTTCATTGGGTGATTTCTTTCATCCACTCCACTCCTTGTTGGGTCCTCCTGATTGCTCCTTATTGGCTAGCTCAGCCTAGGTTTCCATGGTTACAGCAACTGCTCCTCTCCCCTCCTGTTCTTCTTCCACTTTCTCTCTACCTTCTTCATCAACCTTGGTCACTTGTCCTGTGTCTTCATGCTTTGCTTTTGTCCGATTCTTGGCTAGAAGATCCAGTTTCACATGTTGCTTCCTTGTTAGTTGGTTCCATCTGCCCATCTTCCATGGAGGTGTACCTACGTAAGTGGTAGGTATTCCACCAGAGGTCTACAACTAGAGTATTTCCTGCTGATTGGTCTACTGTGGCTTGTGTGTGTGGCAGAATTTCTCACCTGGATCTTTGAACATGGGTCTTTGGTCTCCTTGCTTTCAGTATATTGGGCGGTCTTATTCCATACCTTTCGTTTTCATAATACCATAGAGTTTTTACTTCCCCTGTCCTTACCATGTTAATGAATTTCTTACAGATATGTTGCCCCCCCCCCCCACCAAGTCACCTACCCTTCCAGGCTGGGATGTTAATGTGGTCCTCTACTCCTGTACTTTACATCTGTTTGAACTACATATTTCCTTCTTCTCTTAGCTTGTGGACATTGATGGTATGATTTCTTTGCCATTAACGTTTCACATACCTTTTATCACCCTACCTATCCTCTCCTTTATCCAGATTGTTCCTCTTTCCCTAAGACCTTTGCAGCTCATTAGGGTGGTTCCTCCTTTTCTCCTATTTCCCATATTTACTCTTGAGTGGATCCAAATAGGCTTCTGTGCATGGTCAGGGTGCTCTTCAATGTTATATTGCCCATTCTGCTTTCTTCCAGTGTACATGTACCAGACTTTTTATTCCCTGACAATCCTCCTCTGTTTGTGATCTTTCACCTTCTACCCTTACCAATTGAGTCAGTTTTTTGGGTCGATTGGCCTATTCCTACCAACCTTCTTCCTTCTGAAATTTGTTCCAGGTGTCCTCCCATCAGATTCAACACCTCACTTTTCCCTTCCTTCTTGTCCAGAGAAGGAGATTCGACAGTCTTGCATATGGACCATACCCACTATGTTCATCTCCCACTCTCTCCATCATATTGTGGTTTTGTCTACTATCTATGGCCATTCTTCAGACTTCAGTGCAACTCTAACTGGTAAGTTTTTATTTTTTATTCATACTTTCCTTTCTTTTCAGGGACCTTTCTCTATTACTTTATTCCAAGGATCCCGCTCTGTGGCGAGTAGTGCCTGACCAGGTATTCTTTAACTCGAAATCTGCACTGTCCAGCCATATTGACTCCCTCTTTATCTTCCATGGCTTTGCATACTCATCAATGAGATAAGGTGTTCCACATGATCACTTGTAGGAGCATGACCTCATGATGTTTTCCTTTATAATCATACCTGTCCCGGATCCGTACCACCCATGGACTGCATGGGTAAAGCAGAAGGAGATTGATGCCCATCCCTGCCTTGCCTGGAGTGAATAACTCAGTCTGGTCTGCTTTTCAAAATAAAGTTTTGTAGTCACCCATTGCACTGTCTCAGGTGATGACGTTCCTCTGGACTCTCCACTTTCTTTGAGTGGAGGATGGGAGTCTTTACCAGTTTCCAGTTCCAAGCCACTGGGGTGGTTGACCATAGAGGCACCCTGTTGAGTGAGTTCCATACAATAACCATTCAGGTACAGAGTAGGGTAGTGGTGTTCTGTGGGTATAGATGATGTGATATCTGCCTGGAATAACCATTGACAATGGAGGGAGATGTCAGAAGGCAGTTCACCCCTTTGATTGGGAGCCCTTATCCTACCCTCATGTGGATTTCGGTACCCCATGGACAGGTTTTGGATTTAGAGTGAACCAATGAACATAAGTCCTCACACAGGTTTCGGGTTTTCTATTTTCCTCCCTCAATTTCCTCCGTCTGTGTTGTGGCTCATAGTGGTAGTATGTGGGATTGTTTTGGTTTCGTCCAAGGAGATGAATGCATGTTATAGACATCCTTTTGATACCGGATGTCAAGTTCCCAGATCGAGAATTAATCGTAATGTCATACCCAGGAGTCAGAGTGATTCTCAATCCCTGGTTCTTGGGTTTGAGGTAAAGGCGGTATGATCCTCATCCTACCTTTACACAGATGTTGAGGCCTTCAGGCAGGTTTGGGATGTGGTTAATCTACCAAATACGGTCCACTGTGCCTTAGCCACTCTACACCTAGGAGTGCATCCTTTGTTTACCCACCTTTCTCATTGTGGGATTGAGTTACAGTATATTTCTATGATTAGGATCACTTTCCTGCCACATTCTTCCCCACTTGGATGTGCGCCTCTCTTTTTCTGCCCGTAAATCTTACACATTCTACAGTTGGGAATATACCTGGCTAAGAAGTGGTGCGGTTCTCCTCTCCTGATCTTCGGATCTGAATCTCTCATTTCCAGTGGTATCCTTCTGATGCTTTTGGGGGGTACTTCTGTCGTTCCCTCACACCAGTCCCCCTTCCTCATCAATGTGGGATTCTAGCTAATCTTGTGACTGGAGGTAAGTATCATATCTGAAGTTATAATTTTCCTATACTGAAAATGTATTTATAATAGGTACTTACCTCTTCTCAAACTTCTCACCCTTCCTCCCCACATTTCTCTGGTGCTGATGTCTTTTGCCAGACTTTGAAGTGATAGTTTGGTAGAGGAGTGTAGAGCTTGTCATGCTCCTATTGGTGAGAAGTGATGCATGATGATTTTCCTGAGTGACATGTTGGGATCTTGCAATTCCAGTAAGAGGGAGTGGAAGGCTTGTGGCATGTACAAAGAAAAATTTGGCAGATAGAGGGCAGCAATGAATGGGAATAGCTAATCTTGTGAGAGGGGGTAAATACCTTTTGGAAATACATTTTCAATATAGAAAAATGATAACATTTGATAATATCTGTTATACACAAGGAGAACAGCTTAAACATAAAATTAAAAAAGATTTTTAATCAAACTGTTAAAATTATCAATAAATAAAATGGCAGGCCTTAAGTTGTATTTATTTCGATTCCATGTAACCACATCAGATGGCATGTTAATGTTGTAAAGCATCATGCTGTTTTCTGTTTGTTTTTTGGAAGTAAAGTGGTGGTTTGTATGTATCTAAATGAAAATATCTAACAGCAGTATTTTTGTATATGTACAGGCAGGTTGGAGTGAGTAGGGTGAAAGTTAGGGCAATGAAGTATTCTATTGGAGAAGAAACAAGACATTTTCAAAAAGTAGTACATGCTGTGTACCCATCCAAATCTGTCACAATTTTTTGTTGGTTGATTGGTATTATTACCTTTAGTTTGAAAATAATTGCTATGAGAAAAGGAAAAGTTGATTGTTTTCTTTATTAGGGATTTTACATATGTGTACACGTTTGTAATTTTAACTTAAATGTTTTATGAAGTCCTTTGATATATGAATTAATTTCCAGTGAAATGGATGAATAATAAAGTAGTCCTCAAAAACCTTTTATGTAAATATTTTACTTAATTCCACCAAACATCGTGAACTGGTGAGTTGTGTAGCTTGGAACTCCACTGAAGAGGTTTATTCATGTGGTGATGACCATCAGGTGTTGTCTTGGAACCTCTTGACTGGTGATACCACAAAAGTAGCATCTCTTCCTGAAGAACTGTATCCAACTGATATCCATTGGTTACCTCGCTTGACTGCTGGCAGTGGTTCAGGAAAGAAACAAGGCATTCCTGATCTGTTTGTACTTACCTCCACTGATGGTAAGCTTTTCAATTTGAAATACATGTAGTTGTTCAAACTCCCCATTAACAGTATTAAAGTAATTATATATACATATGTGAGTACATTTTTACATATGTATTTGACAGAAACCTAATCCAAAGTTAAATTATAGGGAATCATGGTGTAATGTTTATACAAATTAACAAAACAATAAGCATAAAATGTATTTGTGAAAATAATACTAATGAGTTAGTTGAGAGCTAGACATAGACACTGAAGTTTCTCACTATACTAATAAAAAAACAATGTTTACTTGATATGTGATATGTTTATTCTTTATCCTGCATTTTATGGTTCACACTTGTTGAGGTAGATCTTGTGCTCGTGTTTCTGCCGTTTTCTCTAGCAGTTTTTTTCATTCTGAGTAAGATTCCTTTCATTATTTTATTTTCATGATTGTTCATTTCCTGATAAATCAAACCACATAGTTGAAATATGAAACATATTTACTAATATTAGAAAGCATATTCCATATGATCTGCTGAGTACTACAGTTTGGAGGTATACCAGCTCTTGCTAACCCTTCTCAGTCAGTTATAGGGAGTGTTAAACAGATGAGTTTTATATGACTTTTAGGTGTTTTAAACAGCTTGTTGTAGATTTTTTCGTAACTTTGCATTCTTGCATAGCAAAAAGTATTTTTGGTTATAACTTTTTAAACTAGACTTATTAATCAGTTTTTTATCCAATATAAGTAAATGTGTTTCTTATTTAAAACTATACCACCACAAGATGAACAGAACCAGAGTGCAACATCTAACATTAACCACAGATAGTCTGAAAACCTCTTTCACTGTGAGAGAGCACAATGGTGCGTGTAACAAAAGCTACACCATAATGTACGAATGTTTTTGATCACACTTTTCTTCTCTGAGACTCCCATCCTGCTTCAGATCTCCGAGGACCTGGGTTAACACTGGAGAGGCTCCCAGTTCACTGCTTGAGATCTCCGAGGATCTAGGTTAACATTGGAGAGATTCCCAGTTCACTTTTCCTGCTTTTGGGCTTTGTAGACTTTGTGGTTTATTTTGTTCTCTTTTATGAATATTTATAACTAGATTGTATTGTTACTTGGCAAAACTCTTCAGCCTTTGGTGGTATCAACATGTGGTTAAAAAGGTATGTATGTAAAAAGGCCATCTAACATTTTAGTACAGTAGGTAGTACTAATTGGTTTAATATTATATGTGGGTTGGACATGGCTTAGTAGCAGTATGAGCAAGGTGAGTACATGTAAAATTAAGGCAATGAAAATAACTATCTCATAAGCATTTAGAAATTGTTTGAAAATTAATATCTACATGTAGTTAGTTCATAAAATGAAAACATGCAATGCTATGATTAATTTCACTAAACTATTCATAAGAATAAGAATCATTATTTATAACATAAAATACAGTGATTATGAAACATATTTTTTTTATATATATATATTCATTTCCTGTAACAATTGACTTTTCTTTCAATTGCTGTTCAGTTTGGCTCTCTTGAACACAAAGGTTACTGAACCCTGCACTATATAGGGCTGTTCAAAATTAATTCTGAGTTTTCCATGCAAATATTCATTTGATGAGGGATAGTGGTAACACCAATTGTCATACCTTGATGTTTTCTGTAATTTTAAATGAAAGAAACATACACACACAGATTTATTTTCTTTTTTTAAGAAACTTATTCTCTTAACTGGATAGAAAAACTCATTGAAAATGACTTGGATATCAATTTATCAATACCACAACAAAAAATTAAAATACAGTACGCTTAAAAATTCAAACAAGTACATATATCTATGACATATATATATACATACACACACACACATAATTTGTATACTGCACAGTGCAATGTAAATAAATCCTAAGCAAATGTAATTTGATTATTGTACTTCTGATGCACTGCTTTAATGAGACTTCTCATTCCAGAAATACAAACATCAATAAGAGTAGAGAGTATTTGGATCTAAAAGAACAGTGAGGTGGATGATGTTATTCAGCCAGTGACATATTTATGATGATGCTGTTAGTTATTTAGTATGTTTAATTTTTCTTTTCTCTGAGTATGTGAATAACTAAGAGACTCAAGAGCCAAATTTGGATGAATTTGGCTCATGACCATAGGCTGCTGACCCCTGATGGAGTTCATAATTTTGACGTTAATTTGGGTGCAGCAGAATAGATTAAAATTATATCTTTCCTCACTGATTTCATGAGTTTAATTTCTGATTGTTTGCTTCATGTTGTTTCTTGATTAGTCTTTTCCTCACTTCACACATATATTATCAAGATCTGGGTGGGAGGATAATTTGGTTGTATCCCTTTTTTTCTTTGTCTTTCAATATCTGTATATTGGCAGACTCTTTTATTTTTATATCTAATTCTCTTTCAGGGCATGTCATATTTGTTCATAGTCTGTGGCTAAATTCTCTTTTGTGTTTTTTTTTTTTTATCCCTTGTACAACTGAATCTCATATTGATGTTTTGAATATACTAGAGAGATGATGGCTTTGTTTGTATTGTCCTTCATTACATTGAGTTTTGGACAAACTTTACATTGGTTCTTCTTTGTCTTCAGTATTTAGTCTGGTTAATGTGTGAAGTCTTCTTTCACCAACCTGATAATTTTTCTTTATCTTCATTTGTGTTCAAAGTTTCCCTGTTCTTGAGGGATTAATTTTTTGGAGTATCCTTCATTTATTAGAAACTTCTCTATGCATTTTTTATGCCTTTGTTCAAAGTTATTCATATAACTTTGATTTTCTCAAGGCCAGTATCTCTTAGTGACACATAGTAATTCCATGGATGAAATGGACATTTTGATTTTCTTACAAAAAAAAGTAAATTTTTAAGACAAGTAGTTCATTTTTATGAGGCCCACTTTGGGAGAAATATCTCAGATGTTATCTCCAAACCCTTCCCCTTCATTGGTTTCATACATGTGAAAAATTAAAGTTTTTGATGCACTTCTGATTCTTTTTTTTTATAGTGTTTTATGGTACTCCAGATGATCTTATGTGGTCTTCCATCTGCTCTTAGTCTTTTATTGAATCCAGTTGTACCTTATGGAGGTTTCATTCCTGCTTAACTAGTTTCAATCTCTTGTCTTAGCTGGTAAGTTTGGGAGATTTACACCATTCTTCCAATTAGCTCCTTGAATGTTAAAAAAAGAACATTTGAATTACTTGATGTTACTTTCCTGTTTGTCCAAGGTTTTTTTACTTCTTATGTTGTTTACCAGTTTATGTTCTTCCTTAAAATTTGAGAGTAATAGTTTTTATCAGCTTTACACATTTGATGACAATAACAAATTAGCAGCAAAATATTGTGTTCAGATGATGGTTTTACTAGCCTTTGTCACTTGAATTTAAACCTTGATAGAACTGAGCAGTTTATGGTAATTACTAATCAATTAATCAATTCCTCCATTAATTAGTTCCATTTGACTAATTGAGTAGTACAGTGTTCCTCAAACCATGTTACAAACAAAAAAAAGGAGGCAACTGGTTTCATTCCCTCTAGTCATCAGTTCAAGAAGGAAAAAAAAGTAAATTTGGTGGCAAGTGCTGCCAAATGGTTGCCTGTCCTCTAGGCAGTAGTTCAAGAAGAAAAAAAATAAAGAAAAAAGAAAAGCCTGGGGATGGGTGTTGCTGGACAATTACTTTCCTTCTAATCAGCATTTAGGACAGGAAAAAAATAAGTTGGCAGTGGGTGATGCCAATCATTTGCCATCCCTATAGTTAGCAGTTCTTGAAAAAAGAGGTAGTGGCTGGTGCTGCCAGACTGTTGCTTTCTCTCTAGTCAGATTTCAAGAAGAAAAAAGTTGGTGCCAGGTACTGCCAGCCAGTTTCTTTCCATCTAGTCAGCAGTTCAAAATTAATGACAATAGCAGATTACCTTAGTAGCTTTGCCAAAACAAAGACAGAGCAAGCAAATTTTATGGTAATGAGAATCAAACACAAGACTTCCTGAATCACCAAAGCTGAACAAACTTGAAGTGAAAAGGCTAAAGAGCAATAACCTGTAAGACTAAAATTGGGCAGAGTACAGATACTCCATTATGTAACATTGTGCTTAACGACAAACAAACAGCAATGTTTCGATTAATTGGAGAGTTGGAATTATTGAAAACAGTAATAATCAGAAACCCTAATTTCTGTTGGTTGGTTGCTTTCATGACAGTTGATTTAATCATTTTTGATGAATTAATTGTTGGAATTATTGAAAACGGTAATAATCAGAAACCCTAATTTGTATTGGTTGGTTGCTTTCACGACAGTTGATTTAATCATTATTGATCAATTGATTATTGGAATTATTGAAAAGAGTAATAATCAGAAACCCTAATTTCTGTTGGTTGGTTGCTTTCATGACAGTTGATTTAATCATTTTTGGAATTATTGAAAACATTAATAATCAGAAACCCTAATTTGTATTGGTTGGTTACTTTCATGACAGTTGATTTAATCATTATTGACAAATTGATTGTTGGAATTGAAATTAGTAATAATCAGAAACACCAATTTCATTTAGTTGATTATTTTCATGGCATTCAATATATGTAGACTTTTGATTAATTGATCATTGGAATAATTGAAAACAATGATAATGGGCAACAGTAATTTTGATTAGTTGGTTATTTTCATGATGGTCAATTTAATCATAATTTTAATAAATGACTGTTGGAATAATCAAAAACAGTAATAATTGGAAAAACTGATTTTGATTAATCGAGTTAATCAGAATATTGATTAACTGAACAGTTTATATGACACTAATCAATAATAATTGCTGACAGGTAATTGACTTTATCAAATAAATGACTAAACCACCTGTCTCTACACTGTGGATATTGATTTGCCCAGCTCTATACCTTAGATATTGATTTTCAGCTTTACCAGGATGGCATTTTCTATAAAAGAAATCTCTTGGTAGAATTTTATAAGCAGCTTTTTTAAAGGGTTTATTTGGTTGTTAAATGTGACTTACTCTGAGTATTTCATACTTTATCAGCTTTAGCATCTTCGTGTCTCCATGACAAGCTCAGCTTATTATTCTCTATTGGAAATTTTAAGTGCCAGTATGTGGAGGACATTAACACTTGTGTCAGCCACTCTTGTGGTAGTTTTGTTTACTTTAGGGTATACTTCTTAAGATAGGATTTATGTTTTTCTATTAACCCTACCTGAAAAGCAGTTCACATGCTTTCCACTATTAAATTTCCTTTTCTTGCCTACCACCCATGTAAATAGGTGATTCCTTAGCAGTGAAAATTTACTTTTACTTTGACAACATCTAAATGGTAAACTTGACACTATGTGCATTTAAAATGCTGGGTTACTAATTATATGCATTACAAAGATTTTAACAATATCTGATCATGAAATCCATGTGGACTGTGAAGTTATCTTTGATTGGCCTCATCCTGGGTACCTATCTTAGTTCATTCCTTTCTGTTAGTATGATATGATTTATCTTGTCTGGTGTTTAAACTTGAGGTTGCTATCACAGCACAGATATAATTATACAACTGTATATTTTTGTGTCACTGACTGCTTCATGAAGTGGTCATGGCACCCTTTAATCACAGTTTACTAGCCTATGTCTCATGTTCTTTCAACCTCCAGGTAATTTCTGTTTGGTGATTTATAGCTTTGGTTTATCATTCAGTTATATCTTCTCCATACAAAAAGGATGATACTTCTCTTTCATTCCCAGATTCAAACATCTTTTGTAGTATGTGTGCATATTCTAGCTATTTCTACAAACAATGGTAAATTAACGTATTCTAACACTTTTAAAATTGAAATTATTTTCAAAAAGATACTTAGGTTTTTATGTACTTGCATCTCATTCCTGCTTATCTTCTTTGTGGTCTCAGATAGACTGGTGATCTGAAAAAAGTGTTTTGAGTTATCTCGTGCTATGGAAAAGAATCTGGATATGACACTGCAGTGCAGTGAATGAACAGGAATTACATATAGGTTTACTGCAGCAGTTAAAATGTAGGAGAAAGTTGTGTATACATATATAAATGTAATTAAAATATGCTTTAAACTTATATTAATTATCTTTTATATTTGAAAGCCTGCCCTGTACTTTTCATTTTGCTTTATTCAATTTTTTGTTTATTTGGTTCTTATCAATTTAGTTAGATAGTTTTCAGTCTTATTTTATATTTTATATATTGTTTGACTTTGTTTTCTTTGTTCATTTGATTTTTTTATCATATTTCTAGTGATTGATTGTGTTAAGCTCAAATTTTCAAATATAAAACTATAGTGAGTTAGTTTTAAAGTCAAATTATATTGGGATAATAGTGGTTTTTGAATTGACCTATGAAAACAAAACCTTTGATTTTGTATATATATATGTAAAAGATATTGGCAATTTTATAAATACAATGGTAATTAAACATACTGCACAGTACTTTAAATTATAATTGAAGTGCAATTTAATTTTTGTTATGGTATTGAATTACATAATAAAATCGTTTTTATTTCAGTTAAAAACATTTTGCACATTTTCAAACTAAGGCAGTTTTGTAATAAAACAGCTACATGTGAGTAAACTTGCAAAAATGCTATATTAGGTTTCTCTTCCCATGATTGGCAGAACATAAATAGCTCACTGTGTAGTTTTGTGTTAACAAAAAAACAACTTATAAACATGTCATTACAGTTCATTCTTTCAGTATGGGGAATAATACTAAAATATTAAGTATATCTGTAAAGGTATGTAAGGATGTGTTTAATTAACACCATATATACTATTATTCATAATGTTAGAAAAACAGGTAAGTTCAAGAAGTTTTGATAGAAATGAGTAAGAACCCTATAACCCGAGCACTTTCAAAGATGAACCTTTCTTCTTCAGGGGCAAACTTCAGTATTGTGTATATTATTTACACTTATTTTACAGAATTGGGCTTTGTTGGTGTGTGTCACTAACATGGATATAACAGATCTGATAGGAACAATATTGAGATTTCCATTCACATTTTAAACATTCACATATATATATATATATACACCTG